AAAGGCCATGAACTCAGGTACTGACCTTTCTTTGTGATGAGTTGAATATAAATACGTTTTCTGCAAATCAGCTGCTTTTTCTTCCTCACATTGTTTAAAGAAACCCTAACAATTTTTTAGAAATATTCAACTTTTCAGATTTCGTAATTAAGAACATTTGGTTGATATAAACGTCGCAAAAGAAGTAGCTGAACTCCCCGTCGCCAATTTCAACCTCAAAAAAATTATTATTCCCATATTATTTTTAAAATATGTACTTCTATATTTTCGATATCTGTAACAATACATCTATCTCTATAACGAGTATTTCTATCGTTTTAAGATCTCTATCTGTAATAATATATCTATTGTGCATTGTGTCTATCTATCTCCATCAATATTTCTATATTTTGTATGTCCCTATCTCTACAAAATATACCTATCTAGTATCTACCTTTCTTTCTCTATAATATCTTCAAACTCGAATCAATTCTGTCAACTGGCGAACACGGAAAAATCATTTAATGCTAAACTTGCCAAAAAGTCTAATTAATTGCATGTTGTAATGTTGCAAATAAATATTATCGTGATTTATAGAATTGCAATCTATCAAAATTATTTCAGATGACTTTCTAGATAAACCAGCGTTTTTCAACAAGGAAGTTAAACATTCATTTCAACTTCATAAATTTTTTAATACAATGATATAAGAACTTAAGTACCAACAAAATTGATTAAAACGAAATATTTTTCAAAATTAATGTTAAACTAAAAAATAGGTTTTCTCAAGAAGATTAAATTCGATCTAGTCAATATGAAACTTCTAGTCATTCAAGGTAATAACCTTTCTACCTTCCTGCCTTCCTACCTTCTTACCTTCCTACCTTCCGACCTTCCGACCTTCCTACCTTCCTACCTTCCTACCTTTCTACCTTCCTACCTTCCTATCTTCCGACCTTCCTACCTTCCTACGCTCCTACCAACCTTCTTACCTTCCTACCTTCCAACCTTCCAACCTTCCTACCTTCCTACCTTCCTACCTTCCTACCTTCCTACCTTCCTATCTTCCTACCTTCCTACCTTCCTACGCTCCTACCAACCTTCTTACCTTCCTACCTTCCTACCTTCCAACCTTCCTACCTTCCTACCTTCCTACCTTCCAACCTTCCAGCCTTCCTAACTTCCTACCTTCCTACCTTCCTAATTATAAATCTAACATTATATTTCTCTATATTTCTCTATATTTAGTGATCATTATCCTGTATTCTGGGACTTCAACCATGGTAAGTTTAACTTATAATTAATGCTGTCCTATTAACATATGAATTTTAATTTTCATCATTATCTTATAAACCAATGCACTTTTTCAGAAATACTCCTGTTTGTTAATTTAGAATCCTAAAAAGTGTTTTAAGGAAATGTAATTTTCCACAACGTGTTTTGGATTCAATTAAAATGCACATTTAATTTCAATCTATAAGCATAATTATAAGTCGTTATTTTCAACTAGAGACATAATTTTAAGTGTCTCTCCATTGATAATAGGCATGTCCAATTCACAACGGCACACTTTAACTTATCGAGAAAAATGGAATTTTTTTCATCCATAAAGATGTAAATAGGACTATATCTTCCCTATTCTTACCCAGATAAACGTTATTATGTTAGTTAGACATGCAATGTAATGTAAAAAGGGAAAATTAAAATATTGCCTAGGCTAAAGTACTATTTCTCTCAATTTTAACCATATTCTCTGGTTAAACATATCTTTTTAAATACTCAATTCTCGAATTTGTCAAGAAAGTTTTAAAATATAAAAATCATAGCTTTCTTTGTCACACCATAAGGTCCCCCCCCCCCTTATAATATTTGCCCCCTAAATAATGTGGATGACCTTTAGACCAAATTTAGGGGTGTGTTGAACATTTCATTTTGTCCGTTCTGAACTAAAAAAAGAGTGGCCATGATGGGCCCGGAAAATGCCTTTGTTTGGAATGTATGTAGTATGTCCAGGAGAGAAACTGGAAATCCCTGAAATTACTTCAATTCATTTCAATATGTCTATGTGCTACAGTGATAGCCAGAAAACTCTAAAATAGGAAGACGACTTTTAGAATCATTAACTTTTAAAAGTCCAATGAGCATGAGACTTAGGAAAACAGACCCGTTTTACTAAATTAGTGATTCAATTAGTGCCTAGTAAACAATTTGCAACAACATAAAGTACTATAAACTTTGCTATAATGTCGTTTTTCCCTTCCACTGTTTTCTGGTCATTACTGTAGTTAGTTCAACTTATGTACACACAATGTATATAATGAACACGATGTGTACAGTGAGGCACAATTTGTACAGTGAGACACATAGTGTACAGTGAGCATGAGACACATAAAACAGTGGGATTTCCCCAGCTGCTGAAAAACCAAGTAAAAATGGTTTTGTGTACAAAGAACAATTATTGTTCTCATATTTTAAAAATTATAACTTCAGTTTTGAGTCCTCTTCCTTTTTCACACTTTTATGGGTCCCACGGTATGTTTAGTAATATTGCTTCATCCTCCTAATTGTGTGGCGTAAAACCCGGATAAACCCTTTGCTTAAAGCTAAAAAGATCATAAATTCCCAAATTCTATTCAAAATCTTATTCAAAGTTTGAATAGAAGGTTACGACAGCTGTAAAATCTGGCTTAGATGACAAATAGCATTTTTCTTGCAAATTACATTATTTTATGACTTTAATCACCCCCCCTGCTCCCCCCC